TGGATGCATGGTATGGAGCCAGCCGTACACGTGCGATATCCTATAATTAATTACGTGCCACCTTAATGGATTATTCTATTTAAATTCACGTAGGGAGATATCGTATAATCACGTGCCACGTTAGCCTTAACGGAAGGTTCCATTTAAACTTACATAGGGAGATAGACATGTGTAAAGGACTGTCGGCCGAGATATGGAGTTTAGTATTCGATTAAAGGACTGTCGGCCGAGATATGGAGTTTAGTATTCGATTTATTATTTGCCTTCTTTATATATATATATATATATATATATATATATATATATATATATATATATATATATATATATATATATATATATATATATATATATATATATATATGGGAAAAGTGAATATACCTAACAACCCCATATAAGCTTATATACCTAATTTTAATACTACGTCGTTTTTGACCCAAAAAAAACCCAGGTTTCCTTTTCTTTTTTGTTTTATGCCTTGAGTTCACGTTTCTCGTTTCTGATCCCTTCTTCTTCCTCAAGACGCATCCAAGTCTCTACAAGCCTGTGAGATAAATCGCTGGTAATCTTTTTACTTTTTCCTATATATCAGAATTTCATTATTGCTTCATCCACAAACAATCATAAAACTTGATAATGAGAGAATTGATCATAATTGACATAGTTTTAATTGGTATCGACATTTGTTGCACAATTAATTGCATTAATGGCTCTTGCTGATATCCTTTTATGTTACGTAATTTGCCAAAGTCTATGTTTTTTAATTAATTTTGAATTTAACAATTGAGACAATCAACGACATCATCTTGTATGCATATGTTCACTAATTTTTTAATTAATTTTGAATTTAACAATTAAGAATTGTTTCTTCATTTTTCTAGATAATTTCAATTTTCTAAGTTCTGTCGTAGAGTTGAATTAAACATTTTTTCACCTTTATCGCATGTGAAATTCTTCCTCCATCTATTCGAATTTCTAAAATCTAAATGGTAAAAGCTTTTATTTGAAATTCCTTGTCAATTTGACATTTTTCTGGTATCAATTTTCTCGCATGAAGCTGCAATTGACTTCGTAATTTGCTATTCCTCTTACATATTTAGGTGGTCAAAATTTGGGCTAAAGTATGTTAATAAGAATTGCTCAATTCAACTAAGTTTTCAATGCCTATTAGGTGTTCGATGAAATGTCTGATACATGTTTTTGACCAATGGTTGCTCAACGACCATATACATGGACTGCTATTTTTGTGTCGAGGATGTGGGGGTATTTGACATCAATGGCTTTAATTTATGTTGCATTTTGTGAAATTTATGGAGGTGAAGATGACCTTCTTTAACCTTTTCTTGCTGGATGTAGGTAAGGTATTTTATTTAACTCTATTTCAATCGAATCATATTCCACTGTTGTGTATTTATTTATTTGTTTGTTTAAAGGAGATACATGTGACATAAAAGAATAATTAAGCCAAATGCAAAGAAGCTTGAGTGCTTCATTCTTGCAAACAGAGAATATGTCATGGGCGATTTTCTCAAGTAAAGTGAAATCAACTCAAAGGGGATTCATGGGGGACCTGGATGGTAGGTTAAGGTGGTCGTGAAAATCGAAAGTATAGATGACATGTTGGTTTTACAGGAAAAAAGCAAAATCAATGGATATACCAACTCTCATTGGTGATGTTACTAGTGGATTGAAGCTTCTGTAAGCAGATAATGTAACAAACAAGTGGGAAGAAGCTTCAATACCAACTTAGAAGAGAAAAAAGATGATCATTTTTTGGCTGGGGGCTAATATTGAATGGCAAGTGTAAACCATTGTATTTGACCGATTTGTTGTCATTACAACTATTCTAATGAAAATTTTAAAACAAGAGTCTAAGAATTGTAAACCATCTCAACACTTTTGGTTATATAACAAGCTTTTTTCTATAAAGTTTGAACTTGTTCTTGCCAATTAGGTATTTGATCTTTTTTTTGGTATTTGTAGCATGTAAATGTGTGAAAAGAGTAGTTTTTTTCTAAGAAATGTGAGAGTTTGTTTAGTGTTTTGGACTTCATGATGCCATGTTATTTGGAAGAATTAAAGAGGCAAGTTGAATGGAGCATATATATTAACCAAATAGCTTTTGACTTGATGACGCCATGTTATTTGGAAGAATTAAAGAGGCAAGTTGAATGGAGCATATATATTAACCAAATAGCTTTTGACTTCATGATGCCATGTTATTTAACACAAAATAACAACATACTTTCATTTTTAACCCAAAATATCATCCTATTCTTATTTTAAAACCAAAATAACAGCCTACTTTTACTTTTAACACACAATATCATCTTAATTTCATTCCAAAACAACAATGTACACACTTTGTGTTCAAAAAGATAAACTATCTAGATTTTGCATATATTTTTTGTCTCCAAAACAAGAAAAGATAATGCAATTAACAAAAACAAAATGTCAAGAAAAGTCTAGATTTGCCAGTTTGTCAAAGTAACTACATATCTCATCCTTCTTTCTCTTGCATTGATTCATCTTCCTGATACATGAAAAAAATTGTTAATATGATTATCAAACTTGTAAAATCATTAAAAAAAAGTTATTTTCAAACGTACTTTTCTTTTTGAACAACTAGTAGCATAATGACCCAATCTTTGGCAGTAAGAACACGTTCGTTTTTTTGGGGCTTCTAAAGAAGACTTAATTCTACTTGCAACTCTTGGACGCCCTTTCGTGTTAATTGGACCAAGAGGATCCCGGACAGATAATTGATGCACCATATCTACTTGTAAAATTCTCGCACAAGAATCTTGAGATTCATTTGCTATAGGTTTCTTCCGATTTGCTTGATCATCTAAAAGACTTATCAATAAGTTATTGAGTTTTTGTATCTCCAAAGGGGAGTCTCTTGCTTGTTCAATTAGTTTAGCAAAATTTGAACGGACACACCATAATGTGTAGGCACTAACTTCATTTTCATTGTTTATTTCTTCGAGTCCGATTCTACTATTACCCACCGTGTACCTTGCATTAAGTGTCCACCGATGTAAAATATAGTGACTAGGTAGTGTTTCAACATGTCTCTTCTTCATCACATATAGACAATGCTTGCATAAAATCCCACATGTCTCATACTTAGAACACGAACATGTGACACTGACCTCATTAGAAAAACGAAACGTAACAGTTCGCCAATATGTTTTTTCAACTTTTAGTTGCCCTACTCGATATTTGATTTCTTCAGTACCCTTAATTATAGTCTCGTGAGTTAAATTGCTAGTAGCTTCTGTCCATTCTTTTTTGAACATATCAAAAATCTTTCTAGTATAACACTCACCTGCTTTTTCTTCGATTGGATGAAGAGAAGAAAGAATCGGCCTTGAGTTCATAGTCTTGAAGTCTTCATCTTCTTCAGCGGCCCTTCGAGACTCAACTGCTTTGTCATATTGCATTACAAATTCATTCAACATAGTTTTCGAGTTAACAAATCCATCAAAAAATGAATTAATACTCTCACTTCGTCCGCTTGTGGTCATACCTGCCAAGAAAACATCCTTTAAGAAGGCTTTAGCCCAATGTATTCGTTGGTTATACATGTCACTTATCCAACAATTGTTTTGTAATCTATACTTATCACACATAACCTCCCACCTAGTTTCAAATTCTTCAATGGTATCACTATTTACCCATTTTGTATAAGATTCTTTAAAATCACTATAACTTGAAACATACGTTTTAATGTGTTCATTTTCATGCTTCTTAATATGCCATGCACAAAAACGATGTTGAGTGTTTGGAAATACTTTTTTTATTGCATTACCCATAGCTTTGTCTTGATCAGTAATAATAGCCTTCGGATATTTGCCAAACATACATTTGAGGAAATTCTCAAATAACCATTCAAAAGTTTCTTCTTTTTCGTTTTCTAGCAATGCTCCACCAAAAAGTATAGATTGTCCATGATGATTAACACCAACAAAGGGAGCAAAAGGCATCTTGAATTTGTTTGTCATATAAGTGACATCAAACACAACAACATCGCTAAATTTAGTATATGCATCTCTTGATCTTCCATCAGCCCAAAAAATATTTTTAGGACTCCCATCATTACACAAATCCACAGTAAAGTATTGGTCATTATCCACTAAGGCTTTATCTTGGAAATGTTTTATAAGTCCATAGAACTCCTTTCCTTTATATTGTTTTCGTTGCTCAGATAAGACATCAGCACACTGCTTTGAAGTAACATCAGCTACGGTTGACGTTTTCATTGCATTAATAGCCTTTCTAACTTGACAAGGTTTCAATCCTGCTTGACCTAGATCCACCATAAGAGATTTGCATTCCGTTAAACGATGGAACTTTGCATGAGATCTATGCTTCATCACCTTCGTTGGTGTCATGCTTAATTCATGATTGTGTGTGTCATTAAACGAGTCTACAAACCATTTACCATCTTTATTTTTTGAAATTCGAAGTTCTGCTTTACATCCAATTCTAACTTCTCTGCGACGTTTTTTCTCGATTCCACTTGAAGCATTATCGTCTAACCGTTTAAAACCTTCTTTGTCGCATACATATATCTTGCGATAAGGTTCCTTTGTCGTCTTATGTTTAAATGTGGTATCAATACGTATACCAAATCCATGTAAAAATGCATAATCATTATAAAATGTATATGCATCATCAGGTGTATCGAAAACCTTTCCCAATATACTTTCATCCTTACCTTTACCTTCATTACATTTTTCCATTGCATTTGCTTCATTTTCATAAATAACCTGTGTTTCAATAGGTTGATCAACTTCTTCAATGACAGCCATCATGTCCTGAATAATTAAAGTAAATACAAAGGAATTATAAATTTACACCAATTAAGCTTATTGACATACATAAAATTAGTGAACCTATGCATAGAAGTTGATTAATTAACCTGAGCAAAACTGAAATATATGAAATCAGTAAAACTAATACATAAAAGTTGATTAATAGGGAATTGATTAACACAATTAAGCCAGAAAAAATGCATAAAATAGAACCTACAAGCAATAATAAATATTAAAATGCATAAAACAACAACAATGTAGTCGAAAGTCAAGCAGAAAAAAAAAAGCAACAAAAATTGATATCCAATTCTGTGACAAAACTTACAAAAATTGAAACTATCTAGAAAAATAAAGAAACAATTCTTAGTTGTTAAATTCAAAATTAATTAAAGAATTAGTGAACCTATGCATACAAGATGATGTCGTTGATTGTCTCAATTGTTAAATTCAAAATTAATTAAAAAACATAGACTTTGGCACATTACGTAACATAAAAGGATATCAACAAGAGTCATTGATGCAATTAATTGTGCAATAAATGTCGATACCAATTAAAACTATGTCAATTATGTTTTCAATCAAACTTTGTGATGGTCTGATGATCGATTCTCTTTATTATCCTGAAATTCTGATATATAGGAAAAAGTAAAAAGATTACCAGCGATTTATCTCACAGGCTTGTAGAGACTTGGATGCGTCTTGAGGAAGAAGAAGGGATCAGAAACGAGAAACGTGAACTCAAGGCATAAAACAAAAAAGAAAAGGAAACCTGGGTTTTTTTTGGGTTAAAAACGACGTAGTATTAAAATTAGGTATATAAGCTTATATGGGGTTGTTAGGTATATTCACTTTTCCTATATATATATATATATATATATATATATATATATATATATATATATATATATATATATATATATATATATATAGGAAAAGTGAATATACCCTTAAGGGTATATAAGCTTAGGTACCCAAACTCATTATAATACGTCATTTTGTTTAATATATTCATTATAATGTTTTTAAACTTCAACCCTTAACTTGATTTACTTTCAAAATTTTCGAAATTTCATGTTTATCTTCCTCTTACATCACATCTTTTTGCCGAACACCTACTAGACTATATATATTATAGTTGAAAATGAAAATTATATAAGAGGAATATAAATGTGAAATTGATAAAAATCTTGGAAGTAAATCAAGTTAGAAGTTGAATTATAAGAACATTGGACAATTACAATGTATATATATATGATACAAAACGATGTATTATAGTGAGTTTGAGTACCTAAGCTTATATATCCTTAAGGGTATATTCACTTTTCCCATATATATATATATATATATATATATATATATATATATATATATATATATATATATATATATATATATATATATATATATATGGAGTTTAGTATTGGATTTTCTCCATTTTTGAGTACAAATTTTGGACTCTAAATATAATCAAAACGAATAATTGATTATATATTCGTGTTCTTCTCTGTGATATCTTCGTTTTGATATATAACACGTCCAAAATGGATTAAAAATGAATGAAAATTTACTTGTTAAAATAGGACAATTGAAAAAGAAAATAAAAGAGTTAAGTGAGTTTTAAAACTCATCCCACATTGGTGGGAGAATCAAAAGGAAATTGGTTTATAATTACAAAGACTAGTTATCTTTATAAGACTTATTAAAACCAATGTTCTCTCTTGCATGCACACGCAAAGGGTGCAAATGCAAGCCAAATTGGCTTTGGGGACCAATGCACCACCGGTACACCAAAAAAGTTCATGGATCTTTTTTCGTTTTGGTATTTAATTGTGATAGTTATTATTTCGTTTTAATTACATCGGTTATGTTGGGTAGTATATGTGACATCCCCAAAATCACGGCCAGAAAAGACCGATTTTGTTTATGCTTTATGAAAATCAGAGTACTTCAATTTATAAAAAGGTTGCGGAATTTGTTCCCGGAAAAACACGATAAATACGTTATTAAAACATTTTCGAATAAACGTATTTTTCTTTATCTTAAAACGTTTGGGATGTCATCGTTAATACAGAAACATAAGCATAAACAGAACTTACAATTATTTACACTAGTGATCTACATCTCTTTAAATCTCTCAGTGTAATGTCACTTCATATCGCCACCTGTGATGTAAATAAACTGAGTGGGTCAGGTTGGGAAACCTGGTGAGTACATAGGGTTTTCAACCCACAATAATATAATTGTTATGTTCAATCAGCAAACAATTAACCCAATTACCCATCCCCGTTATCTTCTTTACTCCTAAGAGTCATCTATCCTGCATTCGTTTATTCCAGAGTCCCTTACTTCCAGGGTTATAGGACTGGCACTAAATCCATAGCTGCCGATGTTCGTTCATAAAGCACTAATTCCATAGCTGCTATAGTCTATTCATCGGGTACTAAATCCATAGCTACCAGTCTTTATCTAATAGGTACTAAGTCCATAGCTACCAATTCCCAACAGGTACTAAATCCATAGCTACCAACGTCTAACAGGTACTAAGTCCATAGCTACCGGTGTTTGTCCCATAGGCACTAAGTCTATAGCTGCCAATGTATACTCACGTCATCTTCTATCTCTCATCATTCATCTACCCATCATCATACCCAACATATTCGTATATATAAAATACGTATACAGTTTAAATCCTTTAAAACATGTATAAAACGTTCATCCAACATAGACAGCAAGTATTCAGATAATATGCACACATAGCACGTAGTTTATATAAAATACTTCATATCTATGTGTAAGATGAAAGGGACTATGCACTCACTGATAGGTGGTGACTCAACACTCGGACAGCGCTTCGATACTCTCAAACAATTTCCTTCGATAAAACCTAGTATCAATACCACTAGGGTTTAGTCTAACGATAACCGCGACAAACTAATAGTCTGACTATTATTATTATTATATAAGCGTTAAATAACACTCAATATAACTCATAATAATAGCCCAAATACTCATTATAAGTTCCTAATAATGTTACTATATTAAAACATAAGCTATACTAAAGATAGCGTAGGCATAGCTCACTTACAGCGGGTTTTTCTCGAAAACCGGGCTTCGCTGGAGCAGCGTTTCCGAGCCGAAAGACCTTTTTCCTTGGGACTCCGGGACCTCGGGGCTTCCTTCGGGTGCTAGGGGTTTACCTAGGCTTTTAGGGGGGTTAGGGGGCTAGAGAGAGAGTATAGAGAGAGAAAGAAGAAGGTTGAAGGTGTGAGAATGAATGGAACCCGACACCTCTATTTATAGGGGTGCTGACTGGCCTACTCGCCGAGTAGGGGGACCTACTGCCGAGTTGGTCCATGTGGTGGCCTTCTGGTGGTGCCACGTGTCCAATTCTGGTGGTGCCACGTCACCCCCTATCGCGTATCAGCCTTCAAACTTAGAAAAATCATAACTTTCGCATACGAGCTCCGTTTTCGACGTTCTTTATATCCACGCGTAGGTAAAATCAAGATCTACAACTTTCGTTTAGACTCCGTCAGCTAATTCTCGACCGATCTCAAATTTAACAGTAGGAGGCGTTTAGACTGTTAAATGACCGCGAAGAGTTCATAACTCCTTCATCCGGACTCCGTTTTCGTCTGTTTTTACCGTTGAGTTCCTATTAATGAGACCTTCAACTCTCATTTAGGTCGCGTAAGCCAAAAACCGCTCGAACTAAAATTCGAGTTTCGGGCCGTGCACTGCTAAGCCGAATCTTAGAAAAATCATAACTTCTTCATACGAAGTCAGATTTGGGCGTTCTTTTTATTGATGTTCTTAGTTTAACATATTCTACGACTTTTGTTTAGATTGCTAAGGCTAAAAAGTCTTCTATCGTAAATTCACTATTTACGTCTCCCGGTGCCGTGCCGGTTTTGCCGTAAAACTTCGGCGGGCCATAACTTCTTCGTTATAGCTCGGATTTCGGCGTTCTTTATATGTACGGAAAGCTTGTGTCATATTCTACAACTTGGTTAAGATTATTTATTCTAAATAATCTTTTGTCGAAAAGTCATTTTTGAACCCTATTGCCTCTAAATTGACTAGCTCGGATCTGCGGGCGTTACAATTATCTCCCCTTAGGATGATTACGTCCCGGAATCATCAATGAAACAGGGTTTGTATAATGACTCTATACGTCATCTCTTCATCCTAGGTAAAAATTATAACTTCTTTATTCCTTCAAGTCTATCTCTTAGACTTATTGACTGTAAGCAGTACTTAATCGTGCACCTGCTCTCTACCCCAGATTAGACTCCAAATTATGATCTATCATCATGTGTCACATTTTTAGACTTAGGTCTCTTAGAGTTAAATTCTAAAACAGACTAGGCCTTCCTTCATGTTCTATTGTGATATAATCACACCTTAACATGTAGCATTTCTAGCCACCAACTTCTTCAACAACGAGCGCAATACTTCTATTGATTGTCTGATTTTAATCGTTTGGTTTAAGTGGACGCTATATCAAACTTGGTTCTCTGAACCACGTAACCTACTCATCGTAGTCGGACTCAATGTGATATGACCACTAGGGTCGGGATAACAACAATCTTCTTAGTCATTACCGAAACAATGGTAACGACATACTTGAATAAAACGAAATCAATTACTGGCTTCTTGGTAACCTTGTGACTTTCCCTGATCCAAGTGTGAGTCCTGTGCTTCCGGTAGTATAGGCCTCTACTACCTTTCACACCTACTCATACTCGTCCCAAGTATCGTCTCGCAGTTTCCCAAGTCACCATGCAGCAAATCACACAACAATTTCACACACCAGATATCAAAACGAAGATTTCATTATTTCTAGAAACTATTACATAGGTGTTCAAGTTCACCCTAGACTATGCCTCTACTAGGCTACATCGTACGAAACTATGGCTACTGCATAATCCGATCTTCGGGTAAGAAGTCCTCATTCTTGATTCCTTGCATGGTTCTCTGCCTCGTCAAGGATCATGTGA